AGTTGTTATTGCACAAAGCACAATACAAACATACATAAAATCCTGACCTAGACTTCAGCCACTGACTAATCTCCCTTTGACTTCATGGGGCCAGGATTCCAGCTGACTTCTACTCCAGGGAGTTGCACAGAAACACACACAAATCTTGAGCATATAGTATGACTTCTGCTTTATATTGTTGTCATTGTGGTCTAGGATGCTGAAGATATTTAGTTATCTCCCTTCTAGCCTATATGCCAGGGTAGGCCAGGGAACACCTGAATCTGGTGAGTACTCAGAGGATAAGTGTGTGCCTGACTGCTACACAGAGGGATCTTGTTCCTTGTGTGGTGTCTTTCTAGTCCATGAGATTCCATGTGAGGTGGAACAGCTATGGCAAGAGGGCATGAATATTTGGCCTCAATATGAAGTGTCTTTATGCATTCCATAACACTTGTGGCATTTCTCTCCATTCCAAAGCATATTTTTTGAATAACTGCCTGTCCTTTACGTGGCCTCTTCTTTTACCCTCTATCAGTCTGCTTCCTGTAAAGCAATAAAAGCCTTTGCACAGCCAGAGATTTTTGTGTCCACTTTGTGACTGAACAGCAAGTAAAGCTGGGAGGAGAAGAGGACAGCTCAGTCAGCCTTGGTAATCAGCTCTGGCTTGGAACCTGGAAAACCCATTTGAGCACGCATTTGCTCCTGTGTTTTTGCTTTGCAACCACTGCACTGGTTAGCATTTGAGATTTCTGACTAGAAATATTGTTCCTTTTGCAGATAGAAGTGTTTGGCTTTATTATTTCTAGCTGGTGCTACTGATGCACTTGGAATTAAATAGGGAGGAGATCATTCCTTTCTGGCTATTTACTTATGAACTGACCGATGGTCCAGATCATGTCACGTATAAGTATTTCAGTACCTTCCTTTTCAGAGATGTTGTGTCTTTCTGAAGCCTTTCTTGCCTTATGACAACTACTTTTTTACTTTTGATAATTATATTTTTAATAATACAAATATCTTAAATATATTGTCTTTTAGCAGAATACTTTGACATCAACAGCTACGCAGGTCTCATTTTGCAAACCACAGCTTACCCTGTACCTGTAGAAGAACTGGGCTTGAGGCAGGTGCATTGCACCTACAAATTTCTCCCTGTGAAACCAGATTTTTAGTTGTTATTTTTTACCCTTTCTGATATTAAAATTTGTACTCAGTATTATTGGTATTTTGACACTGCAGGAACATCTGATAACATGAGTCATGGACCAGCCTCATTGTTGTATTGTTAGCTGTTTTGCTTATCTCTTTCCTTCTTCTGTAGAGTGCAAGCATAGCTGTGAGAAGGGGATCGTATAATTTTTGTTCCATACCTTGAGAGCTTTTGTAATATGAAGGTTTAGATCTAGAATTATAATTGTGTGGGATGCTGTATGCACAAGCAGAATGACAGCCCTTGCCAGGTAGTTTACAATGATGTATTGAGAATTCTTTAAACTGAATGTGGACATGGAAGATGCACCTATCTCTGAAAGATAAGTACAATTAGATTGACAACTTGGATGTCAGGCTTCTTGTTGATGTAATTTAAAATGGTTGTTGCCACTCCCTCCCTCCCTCTATTCCCTGAAATGTGTCTTATACTGGAAATGCTGACAAGACCCTCATCATTTGCGATGGCACCGTGCGCAGCTTTAAATACTGGTTATAAATGTTAATGTGTTATCTGAATGATATTTTTTCCATATGTAGGCAGCTCAGGATAGAGTTTCAGTAATAAATTTAACGAGTTCAGGGGGAAGATGCAGGATATGCTTATGTGAGTATTATAATGATTGGCATTTTTGCAAACAGCATATGATAAGTGGCGCAATTTTATTTTCAAAGTTTAATCAATAGAGAGCTCTTTGATATTGCCATGTACTTTTCAAATAGATGCTTCCTAAGAATGACAGCAGAACAATTTCTCTATCATGGTGTGTACATGCTTGGGGTTTAATCAATCTGCTTTAGTGATTGTCATAAATTTTGATACTCCAAAAAATAAATAGAAGCTATAAAATAATTATACTCCGGGGTGTCATCCTGTTGCTGCTTGCCTGGGTCATCTGACTTCACAAATATTTAAAAGGATGCACAGTCCATCACTGTACCAGTTACAAGAGCATGGGCCGTGTACCATTTTATTCCTATTTATTGTAAACCCACACCAGCTATTGCACAGGAAATTGAGGTGGATCTTCAAGGGCTTAAGAAGGACTTTATGAATGCCTTGTGTTAAACTTTTGGAAGTGAATTTGCTCTCAAATAAGAGGAGCCAGAAATTACCACCTCACTACACAGCAGCCTCCCCTGTAATTTTGATCCCTGTGGGGTCATCAGAAGTGGCTGAAGCTCCTTCTGTGTGAGCCAGAACATCCACCTAGCCCAAACCCCCTGGGGTGGTCCCTTCAGTGGTCCCAGCACCAGTACAGGTTCTCTTCTGGGAGTCTGAGGAGCAGTACACCCCTGACCTTTCTCTGGGATGTTTCAAGCCAGTAGAGAGGACTTTGGGGAGATGCCCAATGCTCTGGGTGAGCATTGTTCTTGCTGAGCAGAGCCCAATTGCCTGTGTCTCTTTTGTTCTTGGAAACAACAGTAGCAGCTGAAAGCTGAACTTTGGAAGATCATTTCACAAGCATTTGAAGGCTGGCTGTGTCCACACAGAGCTGTGGTGCCAGCCCAGCTTGTCCTCCCTATTGCAGGAGCCTGCAGAAATTCATGCTGGCCCCACAAAACCAGTCCCAGGGAAGCCTGCCTGGAACAGACGGTGTCAACGATTTATTGGACGTGGCAGCAGAAGGACACACACGATGAGCTTGGAGATAACCTTTGGCAGGGAACTCTCTCTGTCACTTCCACTCTTTCTGATAAAAAAATATAGTAACTGGTAGGCATTTGGGAAACAGGGAAGCTGGAGCATTTCAGGTGATTTGACCTGAATGTAGCAGAGTGCCATGAGCACTGATGCAGAACCTCCAGAGATGTCGGCAGATCTGTGCCAGGCACCACTGCAGGGTATGACCCGGTCGGCATCAGGATGGATCCTCATCTCAGCACAGGAATTCCTCCAGAGCCATGAGGGATTTGGGCAGGCTGACATCAGTGTAAGACCAGGGTTTAAGTGTGCTGTGCATACTAAATGAGTTGTTGTAGACACTCGTGAAAAAAAAAAAAAGATCATTGAAAATTTATTTATTTTTAGCACTTTTTACTTGCAGCAAGAAGATCCCATTGCAACATCCAGATATTACAGCCTCAGCTGTAGCTCCACTTACTTTCATACAAAGATTCAAGAGGATGACCTAGAGAGAGCAAAGGATTTTTACTCTTTTTTTTTTATAATTTTGTTTTGTAATATACATGTGTGTATATGTGTGAGCTCTGTATGGCTAAATATATACATGTAAGTATGGACATCTGTTTGTTTAAATAACATGTGTTTTCCTTTGCTGTCCCTGACCAACATCAATTGCTGTGCTGCCTTTGTAAATATGCTGCAATGGCCGATTCTTTTGAATTCTTTGTGCTATCTTTGCTTATGCTGAATAGCAGCTGACACTTTAATTGGGATGACTGAGCTGAGTGCATTTGCCTTTGGAATTGGATACTTTTCAGTGTGAAGAGAGGGTACCACAGACTGACTTTTCTGTCTTTATCCTCAACCAAAACTCCATTAAATCAGACCTACAGTTTGTAGCAAGGGACAATCTCCGTTGCATTGAAACACATGGAGACTCAGTTTTGAAGGTTAATTAGATCCTGAAAAGAAGAATTAACTGAATTTGTTTTCTGTATTTTTCCCCCTATTTTTAAGAATCTTTTTAATTACTTTCATCTCTGTTGGTTATGACCACTTTTCTCTTTATAGGAAAAATATCATGTACTTTTGAGTTTATTAAAAACCTTTTTGATAGACAGATTCTAATTCTCATTTTAAACAAAAATAAGCATAGTGCTGGCACATTGTGTTAAAATTTAGGCATCAGAACTTACTCTATATTAATATGAGCTAATCTTTATTTTTGTTTAACTGAGTGCTAACATTATTCAGACTTAGGCACTAAATGGAATTTTTTTTTTCAGTTGGTTACATTATCTTTGGAAAACGAAGGAAGGAATAGTTTAGGACATGACCATTCAAAAACTCTTTGGTGGGGGTGGAAGTTTAAGCAACCAGTTCTTTTTTTCAGGTTGCTGTTACACAGCTGCTGTTGACCCTACTATTGATTCAGAAAGGTAAATATTCTCCTTTTCAACTCTCTCTGGAAGATTGTCTTTGGCTACATGAAAACATGCTTCTTGTATTGTTATAGTAACAATAGTTAAGTGACCTGCTCGTGTACCAGCAGAAAAATCACTTCTGTGCCCCTAAAGAAGGCTCTCAAAACCTAAGAGTTCCAGCAAAGACAGTCTCCTTGTGGAAGACCATGAAAGGTTTGAGGTAGGAGAAAACTGTTGGTTGGAGTCAGTCTTATAACTTTCTTCTTTGTGTGGCTGAAAATAGAGCTATTTATCATGCTTACCCTTCGATGTCAATATACATGAAGAATGGAATGTGTTGTAGGAGGGAGACATCATCTTGTTCTTTTACTCAATTTTAGTTGAATTGATTTTGCAGAGGAGTAAAGTTGTATTTTTAGTCCCCCTCCCCATTCCAGGTTTCCTTGTGTTACATTCACCTCCAGCCCTTTCCCCCACATCCCTTCAGAAAGTACTGTGTATTCAGCTCCCTTAACCCTTAGCAATAATCCAGGCAGGTGGTGGTTTGAGCAAGTTCAAGAAAGGCACTGTAATTTCAGCAGTGATAATATGGCTCTTCTCATTCAAATGGTGTTCCTTGCTCCATGTTAGATTAAAGCATTTTTCTGTGACTTTACTGTTGCTATACAACAGACCTCAGTCATGAAAGAGTTCTCGATGGATTGGAGGATTTTCTTCTTGATCCTTTTTTTCTGTTCTTGTGATCTCAGCTCTAGGTTTTAGATCTGTTGTACTGAATGTAAAAGGCCTGGAAAAAGCAAGACTGGACAGAGACTGACAAGATAGACTTCCAATCAGTCATGTTACAAATAAAAAAAAGTATTCAAAGTGGAAGAAGCACGGAGGAGGGACTGCTGTGAGAATGCAAAAGAAAAATGGGGTAAACTGAATTTTTAGAGCATGTTTTGGGGATCCTGGGGTGATCAGAAATAATCAAATGTTTGAACTGGAAGCCATGACCATGTAAAACAGTGCTGAAATTAATTGTCCTGGTGTGATGCTGAGGTGAGCTGATATCTCATGGTGTTTATGAACGAGTGCATGTGCAGTTTGTTTTGTTTCTTGGCGTGGACTGAGGCTCTCTGCAGCTTATGGCAGAAGGGCAGCCCCAGCTTGTTGTCTCTTTTCTGTATATTGGTTATTAAAAAGCAAGAGATACCAACACTTCTGTAGCTCTGCGCCTCTGTCCCTAGAGGCAGTGTGAGCCAGTCTTCTGCTATGATTAAGACCCATGCACTGTCTTGTTGCAGACCCCTGAAGCCAGTGTGGTGATTCCCAACTGGGCAAAGGCAAGCAAGCAGGAGCTACTGTAAGAACACCTGTCCCTGCGTTTCTCTTGGTGTTCTAGTGCTCTGTTTACATGATCACACATTGGTTTCAGCGCTTATGACCTGCTTGAGGTGCTGAAGGAATACAGTCACACAGTCAGGCTTAGCTTCAGAAATTATTGGGACCATTACTAGATCTTGGAGTTTTACTTTTCCATTCTGGCTGTGTTTCATTCACACTTAGGCATTTCACACCTGCTGCCATGGAAGAGTTCTTCAACACAGCCCCATTTCACACATCCTCAGGCATCCAGGAACATCTGGAAAGTGACTGATTTCATCTGGCTTACAGCACATTCTCAAGTCTTGGCATTCTTGCTTTCATGGCCTTGGGGTTTTGCAATGTAAAATCAAACAGGCATCAGTTGACATACGCAGATACAAACAGATTAACTGGAGGTACAAAGCAGGGAGGTGAAGGGGTTCACAATTAACTAGTGTTGTCTGATGGAAGCTGTGTCATGGATTCCCCCTGTGGCTTTGAAACTGCTGGCAAAACAAAGTCCAGGCTTATTTGACACTGAACCCAGTACTACTGCTGGTATCTGTGCAGTGCCAAGGAACCTTGACTATGGCTCAGAAGCCCCTTGCTCTGGATAATGGAAAACACAGAACAAGATGGTCACTGCCCCAATTGTAACTTGAGTGAAACAGAGATTCCTTGATGCCATCAGTCTCTAAACAGCCTACAGAGAGCACAAAACCAATCTCCTTTGAAAGATAGACTTGGTTTTGCTGATGTTAGAAAACAGGTTGTTTGGATTCCATACAAGGGAGCATCTGATGATGAGTTGCTTTTTTACAGAGCAAGTCAAGATGCTTTATGTAATTGCTTAGTGTCAGAACAAAGCTGTATTAACAGAGCTTAGCAAGTTAGGGACCCAAAGCCATCCTTTTTTGGCACCTCCTGAAAGTAGTATATTACTTTGCTCACAGGCAAAGTGCTGTCTGAGCAGAGGAGCTGATGTAGGCAGACAAATACCATGGCCAGGTTCATCTAATGTTTGTTGAGGTCAAACCTCCTGGAAGGCAGTGCAACAGAGGTGCTCTGTCCTGAGCTTCTGAGGCTGTCACCTGCTAATTGGATAGACTGTCTCTGCCTTAGTACTGATCAGAGTTAATGCCCAAGATCAAAAGATAGCTCAATGAAGATAAATTTGCAGCATGAGAGAATTCATCATGTATTTAAAGTTACTGAAATGTGCAATAAGCAAAGCACTGATATTATGGAGGTGTGCATAAGAATGTAGCGAGGCAAGATCCCGAGGCACTCACTGAATCTGAAGAGTTTACCATGGAGTTTAAAGAATATTAAGGGTCCTAATTTGTGTTTGAAGTTATAGACTCCTCCCAATATTAAAATATATTAAAATTCCTCCCTCAGATTCTCTAGAAATGGTCCCACATTTCTAGAATATACCACAGGACTTTCTGTTTGCTGTCTGATCTTTCTACCACTATATGAATATGTAAAACTGAGGCAAAACTGGCTCCCACTGCCATATTTCTGTGATATAGGGGACTGACTGCAACAAAGGTAGAGAAATTCCTGCTACACAGATGTAAGAATGAGGAAGCACTGTGTTGGGGATACTATTCTTTCCCATTAAGCTTCAGCCTTGTCTTTCATCACCAATGAAAATTTATTGTCTTACAGCTGAGTACCACTTACCTCTATCCTGAAGGGCCTCAATAAAGGTGAGAACTCAGGCATTATGTAAACTGCTGGAACACCTGTTACAGTAATTTTTCATTTTACTGAAATCTGTAAAGTTTTTCCAATCGCCTTTCATTCTATTCAGACACTTTGGGATATATGGCAGGTGAAGGCTTTTGAAATAGAGTGAAATCTAACCTGGAAACCTGGGGGAGCTTTTTTTAAAGCAGGTGTACATACACACACTTCCTACACAAACAACCTCCTTTTTGCCCATGTGGAAAGAGATGTGTTCTCAAAATTTGCAGCCAGCACATCGTGTTTACAGGTGTTACACTTCCAGGGCATCAAACAGCGATCAGCAGGGTAAGGCTGCAGAGGACAGAACCTTTCTTTCTGCTGCAGAACATTCTGGTGGGGTGTAAGACAGCGAGGAAACATGGGGACTGCTGAGGAGGTCTGTGCTGTACAGGTAGAACTCACCATCCTCTGACCAGCAGAATGCTAATGCAGAGGATGAAAAGCACTGTTTCAGGCAGATGGAGCCAAGCTAGGATCTACCAGGAGCATATTGGGGGGTGTGTGTTCTGCTACTTCATTAGCAGCACTCAGTGTTCCTTCAGTGCTCTGATCCTTGATGGCCTTTGAGCATGAGACTGCTTCCAGTAATTTGCCTCATCTACTTCTTTCTTATCAGGTGGCCTGTAGCAGACACCCACCATAACGTCACCCAGCATGGGCTGCCCTCTGGTCCTGACCCATATGCTGCCAGCTGTCTTGTCACCTGTCCCAAGGCACAGACAGCTCCAGGTGTCCCAGTTGCTCTCTCACATAAAGGGCAGCTCTCCCTCCTTGATGTCCTGGCCTGTCCTCCCTGAAGAGCTAGATCCATCCATAGCAGCCCTCCATGTCAGCTGACCACCCCCTCCTGATCCTACCAAGCTAGTGCATCACTTGTCTGTGGTGCCAGCAAGATCATAGCCCATCCCAGCACCTTCACTGCCTTCTGTTTGTCCCCTTTGTAGTGTACAGACACTTACTGGGGACCATTATGAACCTCTGTGAGCCAGCATTTAGGCTTTGCACCCTGTTCCAGCAGCAGGCAGGTGCAGGGGAGGTCAACCAGCCCCAGAAGGATTTCTTTACTTGCACAGCACTTTCCAGCTCCAATGAACCACTCGACATCGAGGGGCAGGCGTCTCACCAGTGGCTCACACACCTGCCCCAGCACCCTGGTTATGCTGCCCTGCACTTGTGTGAGCCCAGCTGCCTGTTGGTGTGGCGTTTCACAGGTGTACCAAGTGCACAGAATTTAGCAAAACTGTGACCTGAGCCCTCTGCACAGCGCTCATTAGCAGCAGGCTCAGCCCTCAGCACTGCCTGCTGCATACTAACAACTTGTTTTCACCGTTGCAGGGCATGGGAACTGCCTCTGTGTGCCGACATCCTCAGCCTTTCCTCCCGTGGCTGCTCGGGGTTCTGGGGAAGCCCTCGGGGTTTTGGGAGGTCACAGGTGATCACATTTACACGAGGATAAAAAAGAAACTATCACTTGTTGAGAAGACTTTTCACAGGATTTGTGATAAGTAAGAGTTTGTCTTTTTTTTTTTCCTTAGTTTGCAGACACTTTTTCTGTAACTTCTCTTTTACCCTGGGTTGAGACAAGATGCCCTCTACGCTGGCAATATGATGCTGTGGATGTGGCAGTCTTTCTTTTTCACAGCCCCACGCTGATTGCAGGGCAAGCAGGCAGGGCAAAAATAAATCTGAAGAGGAAAAAGGTGGTGCCATTCTGTTTTCCCTTCTCCCTTTTCTGCCTGCTCTTTTCCTCAGGTCTTTTCCCCTGGTACAAATGCAGGTAAAACCCTCTGAGTTCCAACTAGCAAAATGCAGAGAACCATGGGCACAGTCAGCATGTATTTACTCTACTTTCCTCTTTTATTTCTCCTTGTAATCCAGACAAGTCTTGCATGTTTTCTGCTCCATTCTTTGGGTCACGAACACACTGGTTAATAGCCAATTATTTCATACCCTGAGGAAGTTTTGGGGAGAAGTTCCTGGGAAAAGTCAACTTGTTTTGGGAAATGAGACTAATATTAAGTGAGATATTTCCCTTTGCTCTCCTTTTTAATACTGTCCCATCGCAGCACAAGTCTGAATTTATTGCTATAATAGCTGTGATTCAGATAAAGCATAACAGTTTCCCTGAATTGGTTGTTGGTTTGTTTTTTTTTTTTCTTCTTCACAAAAATTGAAGTTTTAGCCAGGACTTTGTGGCAAAATTTGTTAGGTAATTAAATTCTGCTTACTAAAAATCCCCCTTTTAGAATCTATCCCAGAATACAGCTTGCTTTTCCTTTGAGCACTTTTAAAGGACTAATTCATTTTAAATTCACAGCTCTCTAAATTCTGAAGCCTGCTGAAATTTTCCTTGACAGCCTCAACCGAAATGTGCAGCTCCACCTGAGGCATCTAAAGGTACATTTTTGCATGCTTAATTGTTGTTGTCTGTATTCTTGTTTAGATACAAGTCATTTAGACTCAACCTATGACTAGCAGAAGTAAACAAAATTATTTGCACGGGAAAAGCAAGCACTATTTAAAACTATATTTTCAGTAACAAGTAACACAGGCCATGAATAAATTAAATTTGTGTTTCTAGGGCTGTTTTGCGTGTGCAAAAATCCAGTAGTGAAAAAATAGGCTGAAAGATAATCTGAGGGGTGCAGTCCAGAACAGCAATCCAGGAGAGATGATCCACAGTAAAAATTACTGCAATTTATTTTTTTTAGTTTACTTCTGCTACTTTAATTTATTATTGTTTATTCATTTGATAGATGGCATTTAATTTCAGTTTGAGAGCTTCAGGATGAGTGTTTGATGCTAATGGTTGGAATTTAGTCCTGGGCAGAAAGCCAACATGCCACAGCCATGTTCCACTTATGCCCTCCAAACTGTATTTAAGTGGCCTTCTGTTGCCCTTGGGGTATGTTTTACACAGGAAGCTTAAAGCCTATTGCTGGAGCAAGGGAAAGATGGCTTTCCCTCTCTTCTGTTCTCTTCAGCAAGAAAATCAAATTATTGGATTACTGGCCCTTTGATTGTGCTCAGCACAGATAGTTCAAAATCCCATTTTATTGGACCTCTGAGATGAAAGGTAAATGGCTGAAGAAAAAAAATGCATTAAATTGGTCTAATATGTCAATAGTATGCTAATACCTGGTTAAGTGGAATGGCTATGACTGTTCTTCTAAACAGCCTAATGTATGTAACATTTCTGCTGCTAGACTGCCCATGTGAAAAATAAAAACAGTAAACCAAAAAAAGCCACCCATAGGACCCTATTAGAGGGATAAATTAATGCAGATTTTCTTTCCTTGCTTATTTTTATTTCTGGAAAAGAAAATCAAAGCAAACCGATTGATCCTTTGCAGGGTCAAAGTTGCAATTAACTGAGGATCTATGCAGCACATGAAATGTTGGGGGTAATAGATTAGAACCTGACTGCTTTGTTCTATATATACCTTCATATACATTCACTTGAACTTTGAATTTACTACTCTCTGTCATTTTTTGGTTTTTGCACATATGTTTTATGTATTTATTTAGGGCTAAATTCTATTTGTTACCTTGTGTTTTTAAGACACAATACCATCAGAGACTGGGAGAAGCATTGTAATAGATTTTAAACTACTTTATTATTGTCATCATTGTGCATATTCACACGTAAGTATCATGGTCCAAACTATTTCGAGGCAAATCATTAAATTGTGCAAAATAAATAAATAAGTCCATGTGAAAGTGCAGCTGAAGCGAATCCCTGTACTTTACAAAGTGGAGAAGACTTCTTTAATAGCCAAGGATTTGATTCTTCCATTTTATATAAGACTGGTTTCTCTACATGTTTCTTGTTAAAATTGTTATCTCACTGTCCTTTTGTACTGATGTGTCTCTAGAGCAATAAATAGCTATTGAAATGCAGCTGTCGCTGTGACTGTGTGTGAATTCCTTTCACTGCCCAGTTTTGATGAATGCAGTCTGGACAGGGAGCAGAGGCTGCACCTTTGGATGATGGGAGCAGGTACCTCTTGTGTTCAAGTGAATTTTTTGCCGGCCAAATATCTGAGTAGATATTTTAAAGAGCTGGGTTTAGAAGAGAGCCTCTAAAAGTGACTAATAAAATCCACATTAAATTAGAAGCTGAGACATATTTTTGTAGCTTGCTGAGATTCTAGCACACATTGGTATTAGTAAGATAATAAATGCATAATGGATGTGGCGTTTACCCACCTGAATATTTCTGAGTTAAAAAAAAAAGATTGATAGACAACGCATTCCATTAATTCTCTCTTTTACAACTAATAAACTTCCAGTTCATTAAGTTATTACATGCCATTCTTCATCTCGCAAATAGAACCCATAATTCAGTTTTTCCCAGAGCTGCACATTCTTTAAGTCTACAGACTAAATTGCCAGAGCACATTTTGTCAATAAAGCTTCTGTTTGGTGGGAGAAGGAAGGGGCAGTTAAGTAAAGTAATATGAAATGCAACCCATTTTTTGTGTCAAAGGTCATGTGTTTGCTTCAATATTGCTTTTATTCTATTAATAAGTTCACTGAATGATGATTATTATGGAAAGTTGGTGGTTATTCGCTGCATTATGTTTAAAATGTTCTACATTTTCTTTCAGGCTTTTACACTTGTGAATCTTTAGCATTATCTTGAGAAGTAAACTGTCCTTTTGCAGTGAATCCCTGACAATGTATTAGTTCAGCTGTGCATTTACTGAGGGATAAAATCTTTCTTCTGTGAGCAGTGGGAAAGCCAGAGAGGCAAACAAAAAATCAGCCATGTTCTGCAGCCCTGGACCAAAAGACTTGTCGCTTCCTGAGCCAGCACAGCCCAGCACAGATGCAGGCAGCCAGTGACACCTTCAGCATGGAAAGTTATATGGGACTAATTTGTGTCCTAGACCAAGTTTCCAACACTGCTCTTCTCACCAGGGCTTTAAGAGGGATTACTGTGCTCTGTGTTGAGTCTAATATATAGTATCTATCTGTAAAAAATACAACCTGAGATAAAATGCTTGCCTAGGGAGTGGGATAGAGTGGTCCAGGCTCTTCACAGCTTGCAGTGATTTAATACCATTTTTGCTGTCCAGAGAAACAGGCAATTGTGATGAGATTAAAAATAAAAACAGTCTGCCCTTTGCTCTGCCAGCCCTGGCATCGGGGTAGATGCTCAGATAAGGGTGCCAGTAGGTTGTAGCTGATCTGCCCCCTGAGACAACACTCTGTGAGGAGGGAGTGAAGTGAGGGCAGGGAGGGGGAACAGGGCAAAGCAGCCACGCTGCAGCAGGTTTAGCTCTATTTTGGGGGGTGGCAGGGGCAGACCCCGGGAAGCATCTCAGTGCCTGCCTTGGGGAGGAGTTGCTCTAACCCTGGGAGGCTCAGAGCCTGTCTTTTCCCTTGTCTCCTCGTCTTCTGATTAAAGCCTGCTTGCTGTTTTCTCCTCAGTGGAAATCAGCAGCTGTGAGCAGTCAGCATTCTCACCAGAAGGAGAAGAAGCTGTTCCCTACCCAAACTTTCTTAGGGGTGTGTGGTTCAGTTTGCTGCAAGTGTGTCAGCAAATTAACATCACCTCTATAGGTGAATGGGCACTGAGTCAGGGTTAGTCTGGCAAGGAGAGGAATGAGAAAGGTTAGCACTGACCAGGAGTATTCAAGCCTGCACACTACTGGGAGGAGGTGTTGAGTAACATTTTAGCCTGTCTGGATCTGTCCAAAATGCTATCACACTGTATTATGTTTCTTTAATATCAGCCAGTAATTCTTGTCATGATATTTGTAGTTAGCAAATACACGTGTGATTGTTGTCAATTGAAGTAATAATGGTGTAGTTGGAAAACATTCTTTTAAAACAAAAGGTTGTAAAATGGTACTAAGACAATGGTATAATGGGATTACTTTCATGAAAATTACAGACTGTGAATTATAAATAAGAGAACAATAGAATTTTTTTTTTTTTTTAGTGGAAAATGTAATAAATTCAAGGGAAGCCAAAAGTTTCTCATTGATCCTTTTCCCAGAGATCACTCAGGGAACCTCTCATGCAGAACAGTCTATCTTTGAAGAAGATGCAGTTTGTTCAGTCTCTGCAAGTCCCTCACAGCTACAACAGAGTGTGCACCTGTGGATCCATATTGTTATGTGCTCTTGGGCTTATCTCTATCTGGACTTGAAACCCTGCTTAGAATATATCCTGCCTTCACATTATGGAATTGTGCTGCCTAGGCTATATTAGTGCCCTAAGCTAATCTCTGAAATGCTGGCTCTCTAGACCATCATGGAGTTGAGTCAATAATGTTTTGCCTTATCAAAGCATTTCCAAAGTCTGATTTTTCTAGATAGCGGGGTGGTGTAATATTCAGTATTCTAATGGAGTTTCTTAATCTACCATCACTCTTTACTGTGATCTTGGCTTATTTAATTTGATTAGCCATTCATAACTTTAGTACCTAATATATAAAAAATGGTAGTGAGCTGAGAACACTGGAAATATTCAGAAGAACCAGAAAAGCAGACTGGGAGCTGTGGGCCTTTTGTAACTGCTGACATATCCTGAGAGGCCCTTACACTGAATTTATCCAGTACTTTTGAGCTCTTGCTTTATGTTAAAATAAATAAATAAGTAAAGCTCTTATCTTTAGGCTTGTTGCTTTTTTATCAAGGGAAGTTTTAATGTGGAAGTTTAACTCATCAATGTTAAGTTTTCTACTAATTACATGAAAGTGATTTTTCCCCTGCAGGCAGGTTCTGTTATCTGACACTCCTGAACTAGTGGGTAGCATCCATGGATGGTGCTATCCTACTTTAGTCTTCAAAAAAAAAATAATTCTAGGAAGTTATTGATTAGTTAAATAGACACTTCAGAGCTGCATGTTGTTTCTGTAATTCCAGAATTGGGATAGATATGCTCAGTTTTTCTGCTGTAATATACACTGCTCCAGGGGCAAGATGCTTTATGATTCAAAATAATATATTTGACAACATAAGTGAGGGGTCTAGGTCACACCTAGTAATTTAAGCATGTGGTTTTGCTCATTGTTATATAAAAAAAAAACAAACCCAAACAAATGTAGTTAGGAGATCAGCATTCACTCCTGGCACACTGACTATTTTTGCATGCTGGCTGTTTTTCATTTTACAGGCCTATCATGAGCTGAGATCAAAGTCACTTTTTTTCCCTACCGAGTGAATAAATTCAAAGTCCTGGAGCAGCTCACAATGTGCTGTAATTCTTGGCTATAACATCTATGAGATATGTTTAAACTGAATGATCCACTGCTCAGAGGAGTGATGGCTTCTTTTATAGCCCTCTTGTTCTTGTAGACAGTAAACCACTGAAATAGGCCATGAACACAAGGGCAGGTTCCCCACATTGTCATCTTTTCTGGAGTCTTACGTGTACTTTTGTCAG